TGGAAAATGACACCTTTACGATCGACCAATTCTGGTCGCTTTTCCTTGACCGCTGCATTCAATTTGTCCAGTTGCCAACATTCACGGATAATAAAAAATAACATAATAATAATAATAATAATTTTATAATGTAACATTTACGGATATCATAAAAATGGGAGTGAGAGATATCTATAACTGAAATCGGTAATTACTTAGTTGCCAACCCAATAATTTTGTTCGACTTTTCTTATTTACCTTTGACAAGTCTCGGTAATTGCTGGGCAAACTGAGATCGAGTTCTTTCGTTTCATAATTAGTCAACACCCACGGGAACACTGGGTACTGGTTCAAATCGTTGTATGTTCGTCCTGAAACACGAAAAACAGTATGTTCATCTTTGTAACAAAATTTATCAGGACAAGAAATTCGTATCGTAGTCTTCGATGCGAAGGTTGCGAAGAACGCGCAACTTGCAAGATATTTGCGCGGATTGCAACGTTTATCTTTACGAGCGAAGTTAAGATTGCAGTAAATTCTCTCTAACTTTTGGAAGAGACGGTACGATTATACCAGCCTCACGACTTTTTGCCGAGTTTTTAGCAATCGGTAACTATATAAAAACGAACCGCAAGGCTCTTCTTCCGAAATCGTTCATTTTCGTGCACAAACTGAGCGTCAATTAGGAAGAATTTACTTTATTGCCCGAATTGCCCGCCTCCGCGACCAAAAATAAACGATCTCTTTCCTTTCGATGCTCCTAATCACTGGCCTAACTTTCCGCCGGTCACCTTTCTCTTCGCAGCGATGAAAAAGCGCGCGCGGCGCGGCGCGAAGTGCCTCCTTCCAATTCTATTTTTACGAAATGCGCGCTCCCGGGGGAACGGGATGCTCCCCGTTTAGTAAGCGCATAACTCAGACCGTGACGGCTAATCGTTCCTGAAATTGTCACTTCTGGAGGTCTCACTCTTCCATACACCCTCCCCCTGCCCGGGATCCCATTCCGAAGTGCATTAGTGACGGCAGCCCGGCTGCAAGCCTGACTTCGTCTAATCTCCTCCCCTGTCGCTAATTAAAACCCGTCAGCAAGTTTGTCAGCCCCGCTGCTCCTCCCGCCGGATCGTTTACGAACACGGTTAATTCGCGGTACCTCGTTCTAGTCGGTTTCCGAATTCGGCGACAGGTGTCCGAGGAAGTTCCTTCTTCGTTATCGCAACGAGCATCTAATTCATTTCGCGTCTATCTCATTTAAGCTGGTGCTGTTCTTAAATTTCTGCTGAATTCTTAAATTTTTTTTATTCAGTTCCACCGATACTCTCTCTTGGACAAATTCTGTGGCTCCCAGGAAAAACGTGTGACAATTTCGAAATGTTTTAATCGATGCATTAATGGAGCCGTGGAATGTATTAACCATGGAAATTCTGTATTAATCATGGAAACAAATTCGATAAGCTCGCGCAAATCGGACGACGCGAAACGCTATACTGATCGGAAGCATCAGTGACCAAATTTTGAGCGACTATATCTCGAAAGAAAAAGTCACGCGACATGTGCGACGTTCTTCTTTGCAATCGCAGAATTATTCATTACGGTAAATAATATTATACAGTGAATTCTCTCTAATTGACGCTCAGATTGCGCACTAAAAATGAACAATTTGGGAAGAGGAGATACGATTATTCGAGCCTTGCAGCTCGTTTTTATAGTCGTTGACAATTCGTAACTATACAAATGAACCGCAAAGATGGAATAATCCTAAATCGTTCATTTTTGTGGACGACGATCTGAGCGTCAATTAGAGAGACATTACATCAACTGTCTCGCAAAGCAGTGCCTCAAAAAACGTTCGAAATCGAAGCTCCGTCGATTGGCGCGCAACGCTCGTTACCACGACTTGAAAAATTCGGGAAACTTCGGAATCCCGCAGGAATTCAGTGGAACGGAACCTCGCCGAATACGCCGATACTTGGCAATCTACATTATAGCAAACAGGGTGCATTCCGAGTATCCAAGAATCCGGTATTCCCGGCATCAATTTGCACGCCGGCAAAGCCGCCGACTGGTTGTCTCCGAGAAACTCACCGGATACTCAATTCGGTCGTGGACGAGAGTAAAAAAAGGTGGGGAGAGGAAGGGAGAAAAAGAGAGAAAAAGCGAGAAACAGAGAAAGAAAGAAAGAAAGAAAGAGAGAGAAAGAAAGAGAGAGAAAGAAAGAGGGAGAGAGAGAGAGTCTGCGGTGCGCTGTGCGGTAAGGCGGTCGCCGCACAAGACCCGTCGTTGCTACAATGCGTCGTAAATCCTGACGCTGCACGACCGACGGTCGGACGTAAATAATAGTAAGGCCGCGTTATGCATCAAAGTGATTATTAATGGTAGCGTCGCGGTGAGTGAGCGCTCTCGGGACGCTCCCCGACACCGGAATGCCCGCGACACACGCGCTCCCCATGCTCACTCCGCCCCCGCGCCCGCCCTTCTGGCTCGCCCTTACTTTTTACCTACCGCACCATTCCCGCCGGATCCGCCGGGAACAACGTTATAATAAGTGCCGGCCGCGACGAGAGGCTCGTTTTTAACTCGCCACTCTACCGAGATTTAGAGGCTGGGAGGGAGGGGGAGGACGCGTACAACCCGGAGAAAAATTGGCAGGAAGTCCTGCGAAATGGCTACGCGGCCGAAAACCAATTCTTTTTGTGTTCGCAAGCTGTTTCACGTTTCGGTAGCCGGCCGATGCTTGTGTTGATTCCGCGATATAGTAATGTCTCTCTAATTGACGCTCAGATTGTCCAAAAGAAATAGACAATTTTGGAAGAGGAGATACAATTTCTCGAGCCTTGTGGCTCGTTTTTTATGATTATCGATTGTCAACGTCTATAAAAACGAGCCGCAAAGCTCGAATAATCGTATTGCCTATTTCCAAATTGTCTATTTTATCAATGTGATTTCTATGTAATTTGATTGCGATTTCTCTGTAATGTGATTTCTATTCTATTCTATGAAAACGCGTACAGTGAAATCACACAGAGCCTGGAGATTCGATTGTTCTGCCGAAACTTCTTTCGAAGCACTGCACCGGGTTTCGTCGTCTTGTCTCGGCCGTTGTCGGATCCGACGCGTGGGTGGATTCCCGGGGGGATCGTATATGTACGGGGCAAACGGCCGCTCTTAATTGGATATTAATATTTCAGCGGTCCGGACGAGAGAGGCCGAGAATGCGCTGAAGTAATTACCCCGGCGGTTTTTAAAAAATGCTTCGGCCGATCATTCGTTGTGCCGATAAGAGGGTACAGCCCGCTGATGAAGTTGAAATTGAAGTTGAAGTGTATTGGGTTTAAGCGGTGGCATCGAGTCAATTCTAATTTGAAGCGAAGACAACGAGAATTTTCGGGGAAAAGTTATCGCGCGTTCTCGACGGAAAGCTCGACGAACACGATACGAGTGCGTATTGTCTGGCGGGAACTGGAGAATGGAAACGTTGGTACTCGGAAGGATACAACAAGAAAGGATACATGATCTCTGCGGCCGAGGAGCCGTTCCGCGCATTCCACCGCGGTCTCTCCGTCGAAGGAGATAAAGTGCAAGGCGCTGCATCGAAAGTGCAAAGTTGTCGGGACTAGATTTATCGATACGGACATTCCTGATGGTGTTAGGCCCAGGACAATTACCTGTCTGGGAACGTTATCTCGGATCGCGAATATAATACAACGGTAGAATGATGAAATTACATCTTCACAAGCCGGGGCCATTGTTTAAAAGCGAATCGACTACTAAAACAACTGAGATCTCCATAAATGTCTGTATCTTGATATTTTACGCGCGCGTTGTGCGACGCGAAGCCGCGTAGCTGGGAGACCGTAGATTATGCGGATATTGAACGAGAGAAGCTTCGAGTACGATTTTACTGAAATCCGTACAGCTGGTTTTGGCGTCGGGTCTTTGATTAGGTACGATGGAGGACCATGTTCGAGTCACGGTAGCTTTTTTTAGCGAACAGATAATACGCTGCACCGTATAACTATAAAACGGTCGTGCAATTTTCGGTTTTTATACACTGTAGATTGATAGAATGATCAAAATGAAGTATACCGTATTTGAGAGTGCATCGAAAAAAAACGATATTTTTTTGAAAAGGGATAAATTTTGTTCGGTAGGAAAAAAAGAAAAAAAAGAGAAAAGGAATTTATTCTTGGTTCGTAAATATGGAACTGACAGAATAGAACACTTCGTTACAGAAAAATTCAATGAAAAATGCAATGAAACGATATTGTAACAATATTAATAGAGTATTAATTATATTATAGTACTCTATTATATATATAATATAAATAATAATATATAATAATATATATATATATTATAATTATAATAATAATATATATAATATAATATAATGTAATGTTATATTATAATAATAATATAATATAATTTTATTATATATATAATTATTATTATAATAATATAATATATATATTATTATATTATTAATTATATTATTACTTATTGTAACAAT